GTCTGTTGAATCGCGCGATAAACGCGCTTCCGATCGAATTACACATTCCCGGCTATCAATTTTGCGGTCCGGGAACTCATTTAGAAACACGATTGGCAAGAGGTGATCGAGGTATTAATCCATTGGACGCAGCGTGTCGCGAACACGACATAGCCTACTCGCGTAGCAACGATCTCGCAGAACGACACGTGGCCGACAATATACTCGCCGCGAAAGCGCGAAAACGTGTCACCGCGATAGATTCGACTCTCGGAGAGAGAGCTGCAGCTACAGCCGTCTGGGCAGCCATGAAGGCTAAGACGAAACTCGGTATGGGTTTGAAAACGAAGAAAAAGAAGAAAAACAAGCGAATACTTTCGGTAACGAAACGCGGCGGTATCCTGCCGATCCTGTCGTTGTTGGGGGTTCTCGGTTCGTTGGTCGGCGGAGCGGTGGGAGTCGCAAAGGCCGTGAACGATAACAAAGCCGCGCGGCGTCAGCTGGAAGAGATGCAACGTCACAATCGCGCCATGGAAGGTCACGGACTTTATCTCGCTTCGTACAAACGTGGACAGGGGGTCTCGAAAAAAAAAAACGTCGAAGAAACGCTAAAAATTCCCAAGGGTGTAACTACCAACGTACAACTGCAACTATTGGCAAAACGTATGCGCATTCCATATTTTAGAGGTATTTTTATGCGCGACTCGTTACCGATCGGCGATGTACGTCGAAACGAGAGCGGTATCGTGAATTTAGATAATGCTGAAGGACCGGGTACTCACTGGGTGGCGTACGCGAAGAGGGGAGGTCGTGCCATATATTTCGACAGTTTTGGCAATCTTCGACCACCGAGAGAATTGGCGCAGTATCTGAAGAACAGTGTGATAGAGTACAATCGCACGCCTTATCAGCGATACGATCAGAGCAACTGTGGACAACTGTGTCTGCGCTTTCTACGGTCGGTTGACAATCAATTTAAAGACCGGCGTTGCGCTGTTTAATCTCAGTATTCATTCAAACATGTCACTGACATTTACGCTCACCGGCAAGAGCAGCATCCTCGCGGTAAGCTATTTTCCCGCCGTGGATTTGAGCGATGGCGATTACGAGCTCGGTCTGACAGATTTTGAAACCTATCACACGATACCGAATGTAAATTCGTCGAACAATAAATTCTACTATGACGACGATGACAAGGAGATTACCGTTCCCGAAGGATCGTATGAACTGCGTGATATAGACATGTATCTGAAACGCGCCCTATTATGGGACCAATCCGATAATGTCTCGACAAACGAAGATGGAGAGCACCCACTGATTATTATTCGGGCTAATAACAATACGATGAAGAGCGAGATCAAATGCGCTTATCGGATAAATTTCACAAAACCGAACAACATTGGGTCGCTGCTGGGATTTTCAGCGAATCGCGTGCTGGAGCCGCGACAATGGCACGAATCGAATGTTCCGATAAATATCATCAACGTAAACATCATTCGCATAGAGTGTAACGTGACCGCGGGCGCGTACAGCAACGACAAGTACGTGCACACGATACATGAGTTTTCGCCGAGTGTGCCACCGGGATATAAGATATCGGAAACGCCGGCGCAGATCATTTACCTTCCGATCATCGTACGGAGCATTACTGATTTAACGATTCGTGTCGTGGATCAGGACGGCCGATTGATTGATTTTCGTGGAGAAGAGATTACCGTTAGACTGCACGTGCGAAGACGACGACTGTGGTAAACCGTGAGATGCTCGTACTGAACGAAGCTGAGCAGGTGCAACAGACGAGAAACAAAATTAGAGAAACAATCCGGTCGCCAAAGAAGAAACTCACTGCGTCGAACGTTGAATTTTTGAAATCATTGGGTTTCGTCGTACGAAATGGCTAATATCTTAAACATTGGAGGTGAACCGATCTTTGACGACAGTGTCGTCAAGATTGAGACACACACGTACAATCCGTACGCCAACACAACGTTTGGACATAACGATGAGATAAAAATACCCATACAACAGCAAGTTTTATACACGTTGCCGTGCGAGAGTTTTCTCTACGTTGAAGGAAGATTGACGATAAAGAGAAGGAATGACGAGTCTCAGGCAACGCTTGCGAATAATTGTGCGGCGTTCATGTTTGATGAAATTCGATATGAGCTCAACGGTGTGGAGATTGATCGCAACAGAAACGTTGGAATAACCAGTACCATCAAGAACTACGTATCGCTATCGTATAACGATTCTCAAATCATGCGGAATGCTGGATGGGACGTTACATCGAGCATACCTGAAGGATACTTCAACTTTTGCGTACCGCTCAAGATGTTGCTAGGCTTTTGCGAGGATTACAAACGCGTCGTTGTTAACGCTCGTCACGAATTAATTTTGATACGAGCGCGTAGCGATAACAATTGCATTGTAGGAAATCCGGCGACGGAGCCGGAAATTGAATTGTTTAAAGTACAGTGGCGAATGCCTCACGTCACATTAAACGAGGTCAATAAGCTATCCATGCTACGGGCTTTGGAAAGCGGGCGATATCTTAGTGTCAGTTTCCGTTCGTGGGATCTGTACGAGTACCCAATGTTGCAGAGCACGACCAAGCATTCGTGGGCCGTCAAAACGGCGACTCAGCTGGAGAAGCCGCGGTACGTTATCTTTGCGCTGCAGACCGGCCGCAAGAATATCATGTCGCAAGATGTTAGCGTATTCGATGACTGTAACTTGACCAATGTGAAACTTTATCTGAACTCTGAATTTTATCCGTACGATGACTTGAATCTAGATTTCGGCAAAAATCGATACGCCGTCCTTTTCGATATGTACGCGCGTTTTCGTAAAGCTTATTACGGATACAGCAGCTTTGATACGCTTTGCAGCGTTTATACATTCTTAACGGAAGGACCTTTTGTCGTCATTGATTGCTCGCGACAAAACGAATCTGTCAAGAGCGCCACCGTGGATGTGCGAATAGAATTTGACTGTAAAGAGAATGTACCGGCAAATACTACAGCCTATTGTCTCATCTTGCATGATCGCGTAATCGAATACTGTCCGTTGTCGAACGTAGTGCGCAAAATCATGTAAATTGCAATATCAGCAGATATTGCGATATAAGAGACACATATGTAGCGCGATAAGATACAGATTGCTTCGTCGTTTCGTCATGATCGTACCAACGTTTGTCGATCTGCAAGGATTCACCGTCGGGATGAAATTTGTCGTAAAGGAGGTGGCGGTGCTGAGAAACGGGACTGTTTTGGCGCATTATGTTTTTACACGCCACATGCCGTGGAGTCTTCTCACAAAATTCGACAAGTCATGCACTTCCTGGTTGATTGCAAATCACCATGGATTTCGATGGGAGGATGGAAACGTGCCATACAGCATGGCGAAACACCTAATTACATCAGCCGTGCTTGGAGAGGGTGACGAGACGTCGACTCTTGTGTACGTCAAGGGATGCCAGAAACGAGAATGGCTGGTGGATCTGCTTCAGAATTATGCGAGAAAAAACCTAAACATTGAGACTTTGGACGTAGATTACGAAGATATCGAATCTTTAAACAATCTAGATGTTACTAATACTATACGATGCGGAAAACATGTTAAGAATTGCGCACTACAAAATGTATTGAAAATATTTAACTGGTGGTCGCAACGCCAGAAAGAATTATGATTTTTTTAAAATAAACTATATATGTATATGTATAAATGTTACGTTTTATTTTCTTTTACCACATAGTTTGTAATATAGATGTTTTAAGTGCTTGATAGATGTTTTAGTTGTTTTTAGAGATGTTTTAGCTGTTTTTAACGATGTTTTAGTTGTTTGTTAGTTGTTTTTAAAGATGTTTTAGTTGTTTTGAAGATGTTTTAAAGATGTTTTAGTTGTTTGATAGTTGTTTT